AATTTAGTCACATCTTAGGCCCTACTTCTAATTCAAGCTCTCTTATTTCCATCACAACTGCAGTAACTTCCTCTACTGAAGTATTGAACCCCTCAAAGTTATCCATGAATGTTTGAATCAACTTCTTCCATTTAATGTTGATATTCTGACCTTCTACCATGATTCTCTAATGTTTTTAATGGCATCTAAAATGATAAATCCTTTCCAGTAGGTTTTCAATTAACTTTGTCCAGATCCATTAGAAGGATCATTATCTATGGCAGCTATGGCCTTATGAAATGTATTTTTTAAAATAATAAGACCTGAAAGTCAAAATTACTCCTTGATCCACGGGCTGCAGAATGGATACTATGTCAACAGGCATGAATACAATGCTAACCTCCTATACATCTCGATCAGAGCTCTTAAGTGACCACGTGCATTGTCCATGAGCAGTAATACTGTGAAAGAAAGACATTTTTGTCTGAGCAGTAAGTCTCAACAGTGGGCTTAAAATATTCAGTAAACCATGATGTAAACAGATATGCTGTCATCCAGGCTTTCTTGTTTCATTTATAGAGCACAGGAAGAATATAGCATAATTCTTCAGGGCCCTAGGATTTTTGGAATGACACGTGAACACTGGCTTCAACTTAAAGTCACCAGCTGCAGTAGTCCCTAACAAGAGAGTCAGCCTGTCCTACGAAGCTTTGAAACCAGGCACTGATGTCTGCTCTATAGCTCTGAAAGTTCTAAATGGCATCTTCTTTCAAGATAAAGCTGTTTAATCTACATCAAAGATCTGTGGTTTACTGTAGCCACTGTCATCAATTATCTTAGCTAGATCTTCTGATAACTTGTTGCAGCTTCTACATCAGCACTTGGTGCTTCACCTTGTACTTTTATGTTCTAGAGATGGCTTCTTTCCTTAAACCTTATGAACCAGACTCTGCTAGCTTCAAACTTTTCTTGGGCAGCTTCCTCACATCTCTCAGGCTTCACAGAATTAGAGAGTGAGGGTCTTCCTCTGGTTTGGGCACTGGCTTAATGGAATGCTGTAGCTGGTTTAATCAACCACTCATGAGTTCACTGGGGTAGTACTTTTAATTTCCTTCAGTAACTTGTTCTTTGCATTCAGAACTTAGCTGTTTGACACAAAAGGCCTAGCTTTTGGCATATCTCAGCTTTTGACACACATTCCTCATTAACCATAATCATTTCTAGTTTTTGATTTAAAGTGAGAAATGTACAACTCTTCCTTTCATTTAACAGCTTAGACACCACTGTAGGATTATTAATTGGCCTAATATCAATATTGTTGAAATACTGGGAACAGGGAGGCCCGAGGGGAGGGACAGACAGTGCACAGAAAAGTTATATTTACATTATACGGTGGTCTATTAAATGTGCAATAGCATCATGTCTAAAAAAAGTGCATAACATAATTTTAAAATTACTCTATTGCTAAAAAATGCTAACAATTATCTGAGCCTTCAACAAGGCATAATCTTTTTGCTGGTGGAGGATCTTGCCTCAATGTTGATGGCCACCGACTGATCAGAATGGTCATTGTTGAAGGTTAAAGTGGCCATGACAATTTCTTAAGACAATAAAGTTTGCTGCATCAAATCACTTTTCCTTTCACCAAAGATCTCTCTGTAGCATGCAATGCAGTTTAATAGCATTTGACCCAAAGTAGAACTTCTTTCAAAATTAAACTCAATACCCTCAAGCCTTGTTGCTGCTTTGTCAACTAAGTTTACAGAATATTCTAAATCCTTTGTCATCATTTTAACAATGTTCACAGCATCTTCACCAGTAGACTCTCAAGAAACCATTTTCTTTGCTCAGCAATAAGAAACAATTCCTCATCCATTGAAGTTTTATCATGAAATTGCAGTAATTTAGTCACATCTTAGGCCCTACTTCTAATTCAAGCTCTCTTATTTCCATCACAACTGCAGTAACTTCCTCTACTGAAGTATTGAACCCCTCAAAGTTATCCATGAATGTTTGAATCAACTTCTTCCATTTAATGTTGATATTCTGACCTTCTACCATGATTCTCTAATGTTTTTAATGGCATCTAAAATGATAAATCCTTTCCAGTAGGTTTTCAATTAACTTTGTCCAGATCCATTAGAAGGATCATTATCTATGGCAGCTATGGCCTTATGAAATGTATTTTTTAAAATAATAAGACCTGAAAGTCAAAATTACTCCTTGATCCACGGGCTGCAGAATGGATACTATGTCAACAGGCATGAATACAATGCTAACCTCCTATACATCTCGATCAGAGCTCTTAAGTGACCACGTGCATTGTCCATGAGCAGTAATACTGTGAAAGAAAGACATTTTTGTCTGAGCAGTAAGTCTCAACAGTGGGCTTAAAATATTCAGTAAACCATGATGTAAACAGATATGCTGTCATCCAGGCTTTCTTGTTTCATTTATAGAGCACAGGAAGAGGAGATTTAGCATAATTCTTCAGGGCCCTAGGATTTTTGGAATGACACGTGAACACTGGCTTCAACTTAAAGTCACCAGCTGCAGTAGTCCCTAACAAGAGAGTCAGCCTGTCCTACGAAGCTTTGAAACCAGGCACTGATGTCTGCTCTATAGCTCTGAAAGTTCTAAATGGCATCTTCTTTCAAGATAAAGCTGTTTAATCTACATCAAAGATCTGTGGTTTACTGTAGCCACTGTCATCAATTATCTTAGCTAGATCTTCTGATAACTTGTTGCAGCTTCTACATCAGCACTTGGTGCTTCACCTTGTACTTTTATGTTATAGAGATGGCTTCTTTCCTTAAACCTTATGAACCAGACTCTGCTAGCTTCAAACTTTTCTTGGGCAGCTTCCTCACATCTCTCAGGCTTCACAGAATTAGAGAGTGAGGGTCTTCCTCTGGTTTGGGCACTGGCTTAATGGAATGCTGTAGCTGGTTTAATCAACCACTCATGAGTTCACTGGGGTAGTACTTTTAATTTCCTTCAGTAACTTGTTCTTTGCATTCAGAACTTAGCTGTTTGACACAAAAGGCCTAGCTTTTGGCATATCTCAGCTTTTGACACACATTCCTCATTAACCATAATCATTTCTAGTTTTTGATTTAAAGTGAGAAATGTACAACTCTTCCTTTCATTTAACAGCTTAGACACCACTGTAGGATTATTAATTGGCCTAATATCAATATTGTTGAAATACTGGGAACAGGGAGGCCCGAGGGGAGGGACAGACAGGAAAATAGCAGGTCAGTGGAGCAGTCAGAACACACAAAACAGTTACCAAGCTTGCCATCTTATATGGTAGTGGTTCATGATACCTCCAATCAGTTACAATAGTAACATCAAAGATCACAAAGATCACTGGTCACAGACCAACCATAATGAATATAGTAATGAAAAGGTTTGAAACATTGTGAGAATTACCAAAATATGACATAGAGACACAAAGTGAGCACATGTTATTGGGAAAATGGCATCAATAGACTTTCCCAACACAAAGTTGCCACAAACCTTTAATTTGAAAAAAATACAGTATCTGTGAAGCACAATAAAGCAAAGTGCAATAAAAACAAGGTATGCCTGTAATTTAAAATACTTTAAATAGTATTAGTAATAATTTACTAATCAGTAAATGTGAAGGTATAGAATAGCGTTATTCAACAGAAATATAGGGCAAGCAACAACCATGAGCTATACAGATAATTTCAAATTTTCTAAAAGCCATATTATAAAGACAGGTGAAATTAACAATATACTTAACCTATCATATCCAAAATATTAATCACTGCAACATGTAACTGATGCAAAAAATTATTAATGAGATACTTTACATTCTTTTTTCATAGTAAGCATTTGAAATCTGGTATGTACCTTACATTTACAGCACATCTCAAACTGGACCAGACACATTTCAAGTGCTCAGTATCCACATATTACTGGTGGCTATGGTATTGGACAGTACAGGTCTAGAAGGATACTCATCAACTATTAGCTCAGGCTACCTCACAGGGATAGCTTAGAGCAGGAGTCCTCAACCCCTGGGCCGCCAACTGTTACCATGTCTGTGGCCTGTTAGGAATCGAGCTGAACAGCAGGAGGTAATGCTGGCAGCATTACTGCCTGAGCTCTGCCTCCTGTCAGATCAGCAGTGGCATCAGATTCTCATAGGAGCCTGAAAACCCTATTGTGAATTATGCACGTGAGGGATCTAGGTTGCCATCCTATGAGAATCTCATGGCTGATGATCTGAGGTGGAACGGTTTCATTTGGAAACTATTCATTTGGAAACTGTGTTAAATTGTCTTCCATGAAACCAGTCCCTGGTGCCAAACGGGCTGCTGGCTTAGAGGAAGGCTGGGGGAACTAGTAACATTTTGTCTGTATATTTCTATATTGTTTAATACGTAACAATGAGGACATATATCTTTAAAATCCAGCAAGTTATGAAAGAGTAAGAAAAAATCTAATAACGCCAAATTAATGCTCATGACACAGAAATACAGAAGCATTCTAATCTGGGATTTAAAAACAAAACAACTGGGTTCTATGTCCAACAAAACCATAGTTCTAGGCTCTTGAGGCATTTGGGCATTTCTGTAGAATTTCGGGCATCGGGGGGACCTTCAGATAGCCCTTTACAATTCCTGGACCTCAGTTTCCCTATAGTTAATTTAGGACTCATTGATTCTTTAAGACCTCCCAGTTCTTAAAGTGTGTAAGTGTCAGCAACTGTATTTCTCCTATATTCCCTCCAAGAATCTATCAACGAATGAGAACTCTCTCCTCACTTCCAGAGACAGTGTGTTTGTAAGCGCAAGGCGAAGTCTCGGGATATCCTGGGTAAAATCTGTCTTTGAACACACATTTCTGTCTGCCTCTGGCTATCGATGGTCCCAGTTCCAAAGAGCTGATATTTACATTTGTACTCTGCTTCCCTCCATGACCTCATGCGGAGGAACTGAATGCTAAGAGAACAGAAAAATGAGCCTGGCCTTCTCCTTCTCCCACAGGAATGATTTGGTCCGAATGCAAGGAAATCTGGGAGGAGGGGCCGCGGGAGTACGTGCTGCACCTGTGGAACCTGCTAGATTTCGGGATGCTGTCCATCTTCGTGGCCTCCTTCACAGCACGCTTCATGGCCTTCCTAAAGGCCAGCGAGGCACAGCTGTACGTGGACCGCCACGTGCAGGACGACACGCTGCACAATGTTTCACTTCCGCCGGAAGTGGCGTACTTCACGTACGGTGAGTCGGAGGGTGCTTTGCCTACTCCATTTTGGCGCTTCTGGGACATGGCCTTGGTGCTTCAGTGTGGCTGGAATTTGTAACGTCATTTATAATCATGTGATCCGTGATCTGTAATGCAGTCGACTTTGGCAGTTTCACTGTCAGTGCAGAGCATCCTTTCCACCTCAAAAAGACCCTTGGTCCTGGAAGTGTAGCCAGCAGAATAGAACATGGAATTAGTGACTTTGAGAAATCAATCTTTTTGTGTTAAGGATGAGTTTGTTTCTGAAAGGCCCTTGGGAACATTTCTGTAGTTTGTTTTTAAGAAACGTCTTGTTTCTGATATGCATCCAGGAGCACTAAAGGAATATGTATATGCAGAGGAATTTTCCTTCTATATTGGATCCTTGTGTTTTGTGCAAAAATAAATCCTGCTTTCCCAGTTATTGCTTCGTGGCAAGATAGATTCTTAGAAGATACCTTAAATCTTGCAAAATACAAGGCCTTACTGTTTGATGTAGTAGATCAAGACTTTAGGAATACTAATAATAGTTATAACATATGTTTATTGATAACTTACTATGTGCCAGAAACTGGCAAGTAGTAGACATTTTATACACACAATTCTAATTCTTGCAAATAGCCCGGCAAAAAAAGGGTCCTTCTTTGTCCCTATTTTAAACATGAAGAATCAGGTTTTTATAGCAGGGCTTTATGTAGGATTGCCTTGTATAGCAGGGAATCCTGGCCTGACATGATTTGAAAATCATGCTGAATGGCAGAGTAGTTACGTCCCCAAGCTTTGGAGTAGAAGAAACCTGAATTCAAATCCTAATTCAGTAGTTTACTGTGAGATATTGTTTACTTAACTTTTCTGAGCTCTGTTTTCTCATATGTAAAACAGATAATAATATCTATGTCAAAAGGTTTGTTTTGAGGGTTGAATAAAAGAGTGTGTGTGAAGTGCTTTGCACTCTGCTGTGAAAATAGTAAATACTCACTTAATGGTAGCAGTTATCTGCTTATTTTAACAGAAATTATGTCTTACTACTACCTTTTGGGTCATTTTCTTGTTCAAACACTGTAATTTCTGTACTGAAACAGAAAGATGTTGAAGGTTAAAGGAACAGTAGATACTTGTTAACAGTAAAAAGCAGCTGGACACTTAGTAGGCATTTATTAATGGCAGCTGCATCATCTTGAAGGGATTGAGTGTTGAATGGCCCTGTTACATGAACCCAGATGGCTCTGGGACCACAGAATCTTTGCGGTAAGATACAACAATGATTCTGTGGTCAGATACAACAATGATCTGCAGAGGGTTGTTTGCTTAACGCAAAAGCTGGGTAACTGCCCATTTTCAATGTAGATTATGTTACATGTAAATGTGGTAGGGAACTCTCCACTGAGAAATGGAGAGTCTTGTAATATTACAAATCATCCACCCACCCAACCTCTGCCATTTTGGGGTTTGGCAAATTCAGACTTTCTTAAAGCAAAATAGCTTGGATATTATCCCCTCTGTCTTGTTCAGGGTTCATCAAGGAAAGATGAGAGAATATTGATACTGCGTTACATGCTTTTCTTAATGCCATGATTCAGGCTGCAGTACTGTCCACTTCTGACTTCCGTTGCTTTTTGGGTTGTATTAAGGGTCTTACCCAACCCAAAGCATAGTATGTTATTGCTCTCGTTTTTGTAGTTCACCCTGTGCCCTTGGAAATCCTTTGGATTTCTGGCTTCACTTGTGCTCCAGTTACAAGACAAGAGAGCCCTCTTGTGGCCAGCTGGACAGTGGATCTTTCCAACCTCTACAGCACCAAATGGGCAGATACCAATTTTTCAGGTTGTGATAGGGCAGGGCAATTCTTCTCATGGAAATAGCTCTAAGAAGAAAACCCCTTTGTCCAAATCATCACAATGCTGTCCATTCTACGCTCATCACAACTCTTTACAAGTCAGTTCAAATGTAATATTTTTCAATGGAAGTCCTGACCTGGTCATCAGGATCTGACAACAGCTAAATCTATCTGAGTAGATTATAAGAGTGTCTTGTTATTGTGACTGAGGTATAAAATGGTAAGCTAGAGGCTGCAGAAGAAAGAATTCCTTTTTGCCTTCTGTTTAATGGGAGAAGTTATGTTTTATTTTATCTTATCCAAATATTAATCCATAGAATATGACAGATATATTGGAAAACATGTAATTTATTCTGCTTACTAGTCTTTCATGGATTTTTGAGGTATGACCTTGATGAGAACACAGAATCTGTAATGTTACTGTATTTCCAAATGCAATTTAGAATCACTCCATGAAACTTTGTGGCCTGGCTTCCTTTACTAAAGGTTTCTTACTGCTCTCTATTATTATAATTATTTAACAGAGTCTAGTTTTGCAAATAAAGAATAAAAGCCTCCCTCTTCAATCTCCCTTGGAATGCCACGAATTGCTGTGTAATATCCTTTCTAGCTGCATTTACTGGGCTCTGAAAAGGACCCCATACCCTAAATCCAATCTTAAAAATGGCAATAATGATATCTACTCTACAGGGCTGTTGTGAAAATTACAGCTAATGTAAGTGTAAGTGCTAATTTAGGTTTCTCAATATTTCTCAATTAATGTTTCACTCACCGTTTCTCAATGGGGACACTATTAGCTTTTCCAGCAGGGCAGTTTTCGTGATACAGATCTGTCCAGGGCATTGCAGGACATTAGCATCCCAGTAGTACTCCTATTCAGTCACTGTGACAACCAGAGACACCCCAACACATCCTCCACAAGAAAAGTGCTGCCCTCACTTGAGAATCACTGACATATAATAGACAGCTGATTCATGACAGATGCTGCTCCTTGTACCATTAGAACTGCAATAGGATTGCTTTTCAGGTTTGCTCTGCTGCAGAAATACCCATAGGGCAGCTCAGGTCCTTGTGGTCACAGTGACCACAAGCAGAGCCTTCCCAGCTCAGGATCAGTCCTAGGACCCTTGCCTACCTGGAACAGGGCTGTCGTGGCAAACCTGCCTGACTAGTCACCACTTTTGGGGACTTAGCTTAATCAAGGAGCAAATATCCCAGTACACAGTGTACCTGGGAAACAAAACCCAAGTGTATTTTCTCAGGCAAGATCCTTTAGATTCCTGGACCCCATGTGAGCTTATTTGTTCTGACCTGTGCCTGGTCTAAACATGTGGTTAAAAGTTTATCCAGTCATTTGACAAACATTTATCCATACCTGCTGTGTGCCAGACCCTGTGCTGAGCACTTTACATGTATGATTTCATTTCATCCTCTCCACAGTCCTGTGAGATGGATATTATCCATAATTTGAGATGAGGAAAATAAAGCTCAAAATGTTAGTTAATTGTCTCTCAGAGGCACGTGGCCAGTAGGTGGATGGGCCACATTCAGTCTCAGGGCTGTCTGACTCCAAGTCCATGCTCTTGCCCATCTCTCTCCTCGCGCTGCCTCCCCAGTGAGTGGGACAGCTCCTGAGCATGGAGCTAAACACTGGTGAGGGAGACAATAGCAAGTGGTCCGGTGAGTGCGAAGACATGGAGGGTGCACAGCATACCATGAGAGCACAGACGGAAACTGGGAACCTGCCCAGCCTGTGGTGGGGGTAAGAGGGATCACAGAAGGCTTCCTGAAAGAGGTGATGCCTGAGCAGAATCTTAGAGGAGGATTCGGAATGAATCATACCTCGAAGTGAGAGAAGAGTGTTCCAGGCAGATGGTCCAGCACATTCCAAGAGGGAGGGTCCAACTTCTGGGTATTGGGATTAATTTAAGGACAAGGACAAGAATGGCAAATGATACAGTTGGAGACCTCTAAAGATGCCTAACTGCTTTCTCTTCTAGAATAGATCCTGTGGCTTAATGAGTAACCCAGATTGTTTTCTTTTAGCCAGGGACAAGTGGTGGCCTTCAGACCCTCAGATCATATCAGAAGGGCTCTATGCGATAGCCGTCGTGCTGAGCTTCTCTCGCATTGCATATATCCTGCCAGCCAACGAGAGTTTTGGGCCCCTGCAGATCTCCCTAGGGAGAACTGTGAAAGATATCTTCAAGTTCATGGTCATTTTCATCATGGTATTTGTGGCCTTCATGATTGGGATGTTCAACCTGTACTCTTACTACCGAGGTGCCAAATACAACCCAGCGTTTACAACGTGAGTATCCGAGGGCTTTCCCTTGAGGTTTACCCTGGGCTTCCTGGGAATCTTTGGGAGTCTCCTGAAGGTGACTTCTTGCGGAGACTGCTGTTTCCTTGCTATTTCTCAAGGTTAAAGGCAACTTTATTCAAGGGTGGCTTACAGTTCAGGTTCTAGAGTTGAACAGAAGAGTTGAGTTAAATCCTCACTTTGCCACTTACATTCCATGTGTCCAAGAGTATGTTCCCATTTAGAAAAAAAAAAATTACCTGTAGGAATGCTACGTTTTCTAGGATTTGACATTTTCAACAATCAGGAATTACTGTATTGCATAAATGGAAAGACCACTACTAAAAACAGAATGCCATTAATAGAATGTTGTCTTTTGTTTCCAAAGTTTATATACTAGAGTGATGTGAAAATAATAAAAGCAAGATATTTTGTGGTAAACTTTGGAGGCAGTTAGGACTGCAATCCATGAGTTATCTCAGGCTAAACAATGCAGCAGCAAGCATGCTGGCGAGTATTCTTGGGGCAAAGGGGAAATGGGTTAACATCTCTGAGACTTCATTTTCTCATTTTTAAAATGGTGATAATAACAGTACCCTCTTCATAGGGATCGTGCAAGGATTCAGTGAGATGATGTAACTCACATGGTAAACTCTCAAAACATGGTAAAAAATATTATTACTATTATTATTGTCTTAGCCTATGTTACCTAGAAAACAGAACTCTGGGTAAAAGATGCATGCTAACACTTTATTAGAGCAAGGGAGTTGCGATCTCAGGGAAATAAGACTGAAGGAAAAAGGAAAGTGAAGAATGGGAGGAGGGAAAGCAAGTACAAGGTGTGGCTGCATGAGAGGTGTGTGAAGTGAGGATGGGGAAAGCAAATCCAGGCAGCTGCCCTGGCCACCATCCACCAGAATACACAGCCTGGGCATGATGGACCTCTGCAGGAGGACTATCTGGAAGTACCACATCTCAGAATAGCCCATCAGGCTGAGAAGTAGAGAATTTATCATCCAGATCAGTCCCATCTGCTGTCTCTCATTAGCCACTCCATAGGACATTAACTCACCTACACCTACACTTCCCGGGCAGCCCTGGGGAAGCCATATCCACACAGCATGGGAGGCAGGTCTGTGAGCGGTTGCGTCACAGCTCTCCATGCCTGGCTGGGCAAGCCAGGTCTTGTGCGTGGGCACCAGCAAGTCCTGCAGTATCATGTGCCTCTGCAGCAGGAAGGAAGGCCCATGTGAGAGAGGCAGGAGGCATGCAGCCTGAGCATGAGGCAAGACGCTGAAATTGGAATCCAGAAGTAGCTGCTGGGGGTGCTCCAGAAAGCAGGCAGAGTAACACAGTGGCATGCCCATCCCCCCAGGGTGGAAGTGGTGATGGAGCTCTCTCAGCCTGTGTCCACAAAGATCCAAAGTTCCTCCCTTGGAGGTGGGGGCAGGGCAGGATGCCAGGTAGTCTCCTGGAGCGCCAGCCATCAGCAGCACCGAGAAGGGTCGAGTGGAAGAGTGTGGAAGACTTGAATATACTTCCTGATGCAGGTATATTCTGGCCGGTGAACTTAAGTCATTTGATTTATCTGAGTCTCTGTGTCCTTGTCTATAAAATGAAAATAAGATTTCCCACCTTATTCACAAATACCTTTGTGGATAAATGAGGATGTTTACATAAAGTGCCTGAAACACAGAAGTGTTTCCAGTCCATGTCCTGCCCCAGACCCACTCAGCTCCAGAACTTCTCCTTGCCTTCACCAAGCTCTTGCCCAAAATCTTGAAAGGAGGATAGTCAGGTTTTCAGCCTTGTGGAATCCCAGCACAGCAGCCAGGATCAAAGGGACTAAGCACTTCCTGAAACTTGTCCCCAGGAAGCCCTGAGTGGCCTAGAATGTGTTTTCCAGCTAGTGGAAATAGCTCTGAGCCCTGCCACTCAGACTCCCTAAGCAATTTCCAGGTTGCTGCAGGGCCTCATCTTACTCTTCTGGAGAAATCACCCATTAAGGTAAGATACATGTCTCTAAGAACCAAGTACAATGAACTCTGGGCCACTCCGCTCAGAATCATGAACTGCGCTACCCCACCCAGCTGAAACTACCTAAAAGAGTGGAACTCTGGTGCTGCTGAACCATAGAAGCTGTTACTCCCTGAGGCAAAGAAATAGTTTGTGTGTCACAGAGAATAGGTGCCAGGCAGTGCTGATAAATGCACCTGAGAGGGGCTTGGCTCTGCTCCTCAGCCCACAGGCTATGTTGGAACCTCAGTACCCTATGGACAAACAGACTAGGTTTCAGTCTGAGCTCGGCCTCTTACTGACTTTGTGGCCTTGAGCAAGTGCTTAAATCCCCTAGGCCTCAATTTCCCCAGCTCTGAAATGAGAATACTACGAGAGCCAATTTCACAGGATTGTTGTATGGATTCAATAAGAAGAAATATGATCAAATGCAATACTTGGCATAAAATGAGCCTTCAATAAATAGTAACGATGATAATGGAGATGGTGAATAATTTATCCTCAGGGGAGAATAAATTGCAAGAAAAGACACCTGAGTACTGAATAGATCTATAGCGCCCTTTCTGGGCAGTGGCCTAGCTTACACACTGTCCACCAGCACAGGCCCAGCACATTGTTGAATTAGCTGGACTACTTTATATCACTCTAATACTTAGTGATTACCTGATGAAGGAATAGAGTAAGTTTCAATCACCCAAAAGTAAATTTGCTCTAGATCTGCTAAAGGTAAAACTAAATGTGTCCATTCCACATGGGATGCATTGCTACTGAACATGGAGAGGATGTCAGCCAATAAACGAAGGTTCTTACTCTCTGTGGTCAGACCCTGGTGTCCCTCCTGTGTTTCTAGCCTAGTATTGGTGCCTTGCAAAGGTTGTTTGCTCATTAAATGCTTTATGAACAAAAATGAGGGAATAAACAGGAGAAAGGAAGCCAGAGTCAAGGTAGTGAAATAAACAGTAGACTGGGCATTTGACAATGTGGGCTTCTGTCCTGTTCCTACTGCCCAGAGTGTTCTGTGCAATCCCTCTTCCCTTCTACAGAAAGCCTGTATCACCAGTCCACAGTCCCTTACTCCCTCAGAAGATCAGTGCCATGACACACAGGAAAATGACAAAGGGGCCAGGTGTGGTGGCTCATGTCTATAATCCCAACACTGGGAGGCCGAGGTGGGAGGATCCCCAAGAGTTCGAGATCAGCCTGGGCAATACAGTGAAACGTCATTAAAGAAAAAAGGAGGAGGAAGAGGAGGAGGGAGAGGAAGGAAGGAAAGAAGGAAGGGAGGGAGGGATGGAGGGAGGGAGGGAGGGAGGGGAGGGGAGGGCGAAAGAGAGAGAGAGAGAGAGAGAGAGAGAGAGATTATGACTTTAGAGTAGGGCTGACCTGGCCACAATTCTCAACTAGATGCAGCACAGCTAATCCATAGAGGGAGGAAGGCAGGTGGCCTGGGTTGGGGGTCTTTGGGATTAGGAAGAGTCATGGGTAAAGGCAAACTGAATGAAGATTTCCTAGACACGAGGGACCCAACCAAGAGGACCCCAGGCCTTCCAGGATAGGGAAGAGGAGAAAAGGTGGGGAGGCAGCAAGCACAGTGAAGAAAGGACAGGAGATTTATCGCCTTGGCAGTTCCTGAAATGGGATGTGTAGCTGTGAATAGGATTTGATTGAACAGGAAAACAGTCAATAGAGCAGTGAAGTGGAGAGAGAAAAGAATGGATTTTTGTAAATGTCATCTTTTACTTTTTGACTGCTCTCTGGAGCATGTCACCCCCAAGAGATCTTCTTTGTTAATTTAAAAAAAAAAAAAAAAGTCATGTGAGGATGAATGAGACTCGTGTCTTAGGATACTCAAAGCTGTTCTGAGTGCCAGCCATGCTGATGATGAAGTCAAACAACCTCACTCAGGCGAATGTTTGCTCCAGAGCAGCCCATCCCCAGGCCACCCTGCCCAGCTCACGATCTTCCCTTTGACCCACCCACAGGTGAGTGGCCTGTTCTCTGTGGAATTTTGAGCTTGTAGGGTAAGGCAGGAGTCCTCTCATCTGTTTCTATAGACTCGGCAGACCCAGTCTTACAGAAGGGAAATTTGGGTTGGAGCACACTGCAGGTATCCCCCCAGCCCCACTCTTGACCTCCCCCCAACCCCATTCCTGCCATGTCCAAGGGCAGTTGGAGTCTCTAAAGACTATTCAGGAGTCCACTTCAAAAGTGAGCTGTTAGGAACCTACAGGGAGCTTTTTCATATGACCTCTGCTCACCCTAGGGATGCAGTCCCAGGCCAGCTCACAAAAACCAGTCTCACCATGTTGTAGCACTGTCCCAAGGGGAAGAGGTAGGGCAGTCATTCTAAGACAAAGGGAAAGAAAAGAAGAAAGACTTCTCTACCAACTGCAGCCCTCAACCCTCAACCAAGCCCTGCCCTATCTCCCGGTGTATTCCAGTTCTAAAGTCACATACCGCCCCCCCTCCAGCCACTCCCAAATTCTCATTTTCTCCATCTGGCAGACCTCAATGAAGAGGCTAGAAGAAAATGGATGGATTAAATTGGTTTAGCCCAAGGTGTGAATAAATACACAGTATGAGCAGCTTTAACAGATCAGTGGTTCTCAAACCACATCAGATTCACCTGGGGAGGTGGCTGAACGTGGGACTTCCCAGGCTCTTCCTCTTAGAGAGTCTAATTGCAGTAGTTCTGGGTAGGACCCAGAAATCAGCATTAACAAGCCCCTGGAGGATCCTGGTACAGCTGGTCTAGGACCACAGTGTGAGAAATGCTAATCTGATCCAACCTCATCATTGCGCCAATAGGGAGATGGAAGTCACTCTCAGCTCTGTGTACTTCAAAAACAAGGAGCTTGTTAAGTGAGTATCTTATTAGTAGGATTTCAGGCTCTATGCAGGCATTTTTTTTTAAGCACAAGCTACTGAAGAGGTAACCAGATCCAGTGGGAGCAAGCCCCAGAGTCCGATCCTGTGAGTAGTTCCCAATTTTT